TTAGCAGGATGTGTACCTTGTTTTGGAACTGATTGAAGATCCTCCCCAGGTTTCAAATCAGTCATCTCTCTGGCTGGATACATACGATTTTGCACAACTGCATTAAGGCCTTTTTGAATGGGAAGGTGGACTTCAAAATAAAATAACTAAATACAAGAATTTGATGAAGGAATTTTCCATGTTTCTGTGACACAAAACTGAAAATTTGACCTAGAGAATATGAAACTTTACGAAAACTGTTACAATGTTTATTTTGACCACAAATATATTAATATTTAATGATTGAATAGGTATTAATAACGCAGAATTCTACTGTACACTCTATATTTCCCACCTCTTCTCTCTTTGCATCCTGTTGAAAAGTCACAATATTCCTCCTTACAGTTGCATACATTTTGGCATGCAGGGCCATAACCTGGGTATCTACACGGAATTGAGCAATTCACACCTATATAACCCAAGGGACATTCTAAAATACAAGATGGATCTAGTTTAATAAAGTAATTAAACTTTGCATAGAGTTTTGTGACAAGAAACCAATGTACTTATAAAATAAAGCATAACAGAATTAACAGAATTAAGATTTATAAAGACATGTGTAAATGAAAAGAAAGAAAACTATCAAAAGCTGCCAACTTTTATATACTGTTGAATTTTGCATACCTTTGCAATCTTTCTTTTTGTTCCTGCAAATAAAAAAAACATTTTTGTAGCACCAATAAAGTCTGTAATCTTTTTTTGTAGATGTGACAAGGAGAAAAAAAACGAAGCATTTCTCATAAAATAGAGAATTGGTGTTTCTTAAAACTCCAAACTAGTAAACAATATGAATAAAATAAATTTTCATTACGTACGGTTGGCATCGACCGCTGACTGTATAAATATTATACATAACAGTTAAATAAAAAAGACAAAGTTTTGTTAGATACATTTTAGATGTGAACGCTAAACTTCATGAGTTAATTTAAAAAAGCATCTGCAAAGATTATGTAACTCAATTTAACTTTTATATAGTTCGGTAAGTTAAATTAGACCACGTGACTTTTATGAAAAAGGTTCTAGAAATTTACTTCCAAATAAGGGCGTGCTGAGGTTCAATTAGACAACAGCTGATTCATAAGAATTCAATCATATAACCGACTCTAAAACCATCTCATGAAAGTTCAAAATAATAAAATTTGATTGAAAAAGAGAACATATTATTTCCTCATTGATGTCAGAGCCGATGACACCAAAAGTAATATTACCTCTCGTAACTATTGAATACGAATTACAAGTATTCCTTTACATAAATTTTAGAATCGGGGCTCTTGAACTCTCTGCCTTTTAAACTTAGAGCACGTGCTTCACTCCCTTGTTTAAAAAGGAACTTAAAATACACCTGTCCTTATAGAGCTATCTTTAAAAATAAACGTGGTTTTACAGTAAGATAGTGCCATTATGATGAATTCTAATCACATATAAATGTCTGTATTTCATTCATAATCTGTTTAGAATATTTTTAAATTGTTTGTCTGTATGTTTGATCCTTGTTCCCACTTGAGAATTTTTAACTGTGGAGACGCAACCACTATAGCTTGCGGATTAGAGCTGCAAGTATTTTCTTATACTTTGCACTCAGGGCAAATGAACTGGTAGAAATCTTTTTCATGCCAGCACCTTTTGCGAGTAGGAACCTCGGTTTATAACTCTCTTTAGAAGGACGTCCCATGGAATTCAAACGTAAGGATTAACTCCTTGTTCCGCTCTTAGACTAATCACTGCGCATCGTGGTCTATTAGATTTTAATTGTAAAGCGATTTAGAAACTTCAAATTGACAGCGTGCTATATAACCTTTATTTTTCATTAGCAATCACATAGTTCCACATAAATATCTTTTCAGGTTTAAGATATACTGTTAAGAAAATTAACAACGTGGGTAAAGCTGTAAGTTTCCATTAAAGGGATGTTATACCCTTTGTAGATAAAAATATTATTTCATAATTAACAGTACATATTATCGCAGCAAAACATCATTTCAAGCCAGCGTTATAAGTATATCTTCCTTAGTTTTTTTTAGGGCTGTTCTGTATCTCTGAAGGAGCCAGCCTCGATTTACTACCCAACACACATTTCCTTTGCACTCAGCAAAAAAAAAAAAATTGTGTCAGTGATATCTTTGAGCCTGAGGACATATATTTTATACAAGAAAACGTAATTAAGGGTTCTTTTTTTGCTAATTCATTCTTTCGCAAACTATCTTTTATTTTCTAAACTTTGAAAAATGTATTCATTTCATATGCCTTTGCCACTGATAAGAAACATCATATTTTCTTCGAGACAGAGGTTATCTTGGTCTCAACGAAGTTCAATATTTTTGACTTTGGGATTATGATTGGTATTAACATATACATGTAGCTAAAACTGTAAAGGAAGTAATTGTATTTAATAGCTATAAAAAAAATTAAAATATTAATCATCTTATTTTTAATTTACTCTCTTATATGTATAATTTAACTCAGAAAACATTTCGGGCATAAATTGCGTCACGCATCCTTTGTAAATCCCTCACAGCGTAGCCTGAGTTCCAAAGAGGAAGTGTTTATCTTTATTTAAAAGAAGTGTTCATGTGGAATGGAATAAAAGCTAAACCCATTTCCCACCCATGCTGTAGGTTCATATATATTCAAAATTTTTTGCAGAAACAGTTAGTAAAAGACTTATCATTAGCATTTTATATAAAACTAACGCATGGATGGAGAAGAACATGAAGTTGACAAAGATGATTCATGAATCAAAATAACAAACAAATAAGCGGAAGAAAATTTCTGTTACAGGCACGTGGGTCAAGTTTTTGGAAACTATTTTTTGTTTCCTGAAGATATTATCAAAGTGTTTCTACAGTAAACTTCAATATAAGGCACATATTATTGGTGTCCTTTTTTGACAACTAAATTAACTAGGAACCACTCAATCTTGTATTTTAAATAACATGTAACAAAGTGTTCAAAATACATTTGATCTATAAATTTACAACCATACATTACCAATCAAAATATGACATATTTTGCAGTGAAAAAATCTCGTCTATTTATCTATCAGTGAGATGTTTTGAACATACAATTCTTTTTCTTTTGTAAGAATAGTAAGCTACATGTAGATAAAAGTTGTTCAAGAAATAAAATGGCAAATATAGCTGTTCTGAAGTGTAGAATATGCATGAACTGAATTCCCAATCATCTCACTTCCAAAAGATGCAAATGTAAACATATACACATTATCTCCATCCCTTGTGTCTGTATTATCAAAATCGTTTCCCAGAACATCGGTTGTCTTTTTCTCCGAATTTCTCTCTCCGCAATTTCCAATTTGCTTGTCAGTTGTATGCAAGTCCTCAATGAAAGGTTGTCCATCTGCCTTTGTTAGAATTTTTGCAGGTAAACCTGAAGGACATTTGACATCCATATTGTGCCAATCATTTTCCACAAGGACAGAAGCTGCAACATTTGTTTGACTTGGATTATTTTTGTTCTTTAGATGGAGAATTAGAATTCTTGTTAAAATCAAAAATAGAAAGAACACAAATGTTTTCGCTATTATTATTATCGTTATTATGGATATTGATCCCATGACACTTATTCCAGAGTAAGATGACAATTTCTTCACCTTTAAATTGGTTGCATTCTCTGCAAAGAAAATTTAAATTAAATGATCATAATGTTTATGTTTACTGGTTAAATAAGTGAATAATCGAATAAATATATCTTTTTAATGTATTCAATCTAAAATGAAAATGAACTGAATAAAAAAAGTCGGATAAATCAATAATTAAAATGCTGTATTTCATTATACATTAAAGTAAAATATGACAAAAAAGATAAAAATACATGTTTATGAAAAATTATTTACAAGAACAGACTAAAATTGAATAGAATTAAATTAAATCGAGTTATCATCATCTGACAAATTTACCAATAGACATATTAAAACAACCACTCCGGAAGTCGCAATATTCTGCATTACATTTGCATCCTTCCTGACACTGTTTCCCAAACCCAGGGTAACGACATGTTATCGAACAATTTAGACCCATGTATCCAGCCGGACACTCTTAAAGGTGTGAAAAAATGAAAACTTATAGAAAAAAAAATAACAGCAATATTTCCTCAATGTACATTTTTAAAATTGTTTTTATTGTAAATGACTATCTGCTTCATTATATACCTTTACATTCCTTCGAATCCCCGTCGTAAAAATACCCGGAACATGTGCAAGTTCCTTTTTCGTTGCCACTATTGACATAAAAATATTTAAAATAAATAAATAAATAAATAAATGAATTCAAAGAAGCCAAAATGTTTTGAATGCAGAACATAAATTCTGTTTGAATACTCACTTTTGACATGCATTGCTTATCAATATATAAAGAATTAAAATCTCAAAAGAATTTATAGATACAATATTCATTGTTTTATCACCGAACAATGTTTGTCTCGAAAGAAATAAGCCCTGTAATTAAATTAAGTTAGCAAATAGTCACGCAGGCCTGTGAAAAGGATATGAAACGGAACCTTAAAAGGAAACAGAAAGTTTTAACAAAAATCGAAAATAGCAGGCTTAAAAATTATTCCAACTATTGACCTGGTTTTAACATTGTAGAGTTTCCCAAAAACGAGATAATTTGATAATAATATTTTTTTTTATCTACCACAATAAACAACTGCATTTTTCAAGAAACTATTAACAAATTATAAAGCCTCATTCATACGTATACAATAGTTTTTTGAAACTGATTTTTTTATTAGAAAACTTTCTAACTTATTGGACAATTTATACTCATTTGTCTTGTTCTTTACAAAGTTTAAAGGCAGTGTAATCTTTTGAAGTTAGTTATAATTTTCTGATATCTACACTTTGACAAGATATATACCTATTTCCTAAAAGACAATTATTTTAGGCAATCTGCTAAAGTAAAATTTTCAAATTGTATAGAAGTTTAGGAATGTTTTGTTTTCTTTACAACAAGTCTAATTATGACCATTACGTTTGCTTTACAGTAGGTTTTATTTATTGTTCCGAGATCATCTAATCCATCGGCCTATTCATGCAACAAGTGTGCACAGCATTTGGCAAAAGTTCGACCGTTGTTCTTTTTGGTGAATGTATTCTATTATTTCTATTAAAAAATGCAGCCTCCTATTTCACATTAATATTTTTTGTCAGACACATACATGTATTTCAAGTTTTCATTAGTACAAGATTTACATTGCCATCCTTTCAAAATATTGAGGGATACTCTTCTCTTATCTAAATCTCCATCTACACTACTGTAAACATCTAATGATACTTTTACGGAATCTTGATGACATCTTGCCTTTAAAAAATTCTATTTCACTTTGTTATTTGACACTTGAGTTGGGTGCCGCATGGTAAAATATGGACTTTGCCATTTTAATCTTTTCTTGAGGTCAGTGTTCAATGTACCTCTAATTTAGATTTGGTTTAATACAAAAATCAATTATTCATAATATCATTTCATGTTTACTTATTATTATTATATAAATGTTATAAATGATATAAATATAATAAAATAAAAAGATGGAAATATACTTTTCCTGTGGATTTGTTCTTATCTTTTTTTTAATAGAATGTAATATACTATTTTCGCTATTCTCTCTCTCTCTCTCATTCTCTCTTCAAAGGAAAAAATGGGGCCTGTTGGAGTAGTAAATGCTTTTATACACTTAACAACCCGTACTCAAATTCTCATGTTGAAATGAGTGCATTTTTTGAGTGTCAAACTTTTCAGAGAGAAAAAATCTGCGATTTGTAGTCTACAGGAATTGCATTTTAAGTGTACTTGAATACGGCTTCTAAAGAATTTGTTACCATAATAAGTTTCGAACTCAAAACACAAATCAAATTCATTGTAAACTTTCTTGCGACGTATTTTTCCTTAAAAACGAGCTTAGTATTTAACTAAGCTCGTTTTTAAGGAAAAATACGTCGCATAAGAACACGTTGTGTTTCAGCATATATGCGCATTAAAAAATAATAGTTTTTTGGGTTTAATACATTAAATTTTAGTGAGGTCTAAAAATAATAAAGATTGTGGGTTTGTCTTTTACATAAACATAAACATTGACCATGGAAATACCAATGTTAAAGATTAAATATTAAGTAGTTAATCAAAATTCTGGTCATTTCTTGCAGCCAAACATTAAAAATGATTGTGTTTTGTATTACAACTTATTCGAAAAATTTTCGATTATATTGAGACGTCACCATATACCAGAGAACGGCTTTATCTGTTGATCTTTAGTTCCTTGATCTTTGGTCAACGCTATCGTGGCACGGGGCATCGCTTCTCACTTCAAACCACTGAGTGTATGCGGAAAGAACACTCTTGCTACTTTTTTTTTATCAAGTAAGGTCAGTCGGTGATCATGTAAATGTATTTTTAGAAAAAGGCGATTTAAGGTTTTTACTGTTTAAAAAAAATTGAGATCCCATCTAATTTAGGTCATATTAATAATTTTCACATATTTGCAATTTTTATTTTAATTTATTTTTTATCTATAAAATTGAAATTATTAAGAAAAGATTTGTTTTCTTTTATTTCACATAGATATATGTACATTACACGTTTAAAACATATTTTTGAATTCGTTTATTTCAAAGAGTTTTTAACTGGACGCTAGCCTTCAAGACCCTTGGTGTGTTGATAATCAAAGCGCCACTGAATATTTCAAACGATCTGAAGAATGATCTAATCTTCTGTTCTGTTATATGTCCCGTCGCTCCCTATGACAATAGCATTCTGAAACATAAAATAAGCACAGAAAAGTAAGTAATATTAATGAATATCAAAAAATTACAAATGTATATATATATTCTCATCATATATATATATATATATATATATATATATATATATATATATATATATATATATATATATATATATATATATATATATATATATATATATATATATATATATATACATATATATATATATATATATATATATATATATATATATATATATATATATATATATATATATATATATATATATATATATATATATATATATATATATATATATATATATATATATATATATATATATATATATATATATATATATATATATATATATATATATATATATATATATATATATATATATATATATATATATATTGTTCAATGCATGGATATGGCTTTACAAAATTTTGCCTGGGAAATGTCTTATAAATGCAGAAAATATTTCATTAATTCAGTCAATTCAATACAGACCCAACCCCTCCGCTAAAAAGTACAAATATTTTCTTCTATTCTTATCTTATAAAATTCTCGAAATGCATGTTTACATACCTCATAATAGTCATAAACACATAAATCATGAATCAATGAATGTACCACATTCCTATTAACACGAAGACTTGATATTATTAGTCTTAGAATATTTTCTTTCTGATTGATGAATCTTGAACTCTAACAGTAACGGTTTTGATTTCATGAACTGTTTCTTTTTACTTTTATCATTCTAGTTTCACGAAGAATTTATTTTACCTGAGTGGATACATGTATATTATGTGTCTTCCACGAACAATTTCTGAAGGATATAAATTTACCTCAATTAAATTAACAGTACTGTTTTCCAGCTGTATTTTAGGTGTAAGTGGTAACGGCATTCCTTTTCTCCCGAGCTCTAAAATATTCAAATAAAACATTTTCAAAGTCATTTTATGTTTAACCTACCATATTAACAAAGTAAAAGGTTTAAAACATATTTTAATAATTATAAAATCATAATCTACCGTTAAGGACTGGTTCTACCGTTGTCACCACTGCACTCATTAGTATAAAATTCACCGTCTGCATCTAAAGTATTTCAATGAAAATAAAACAATGGATATGATTTGATAAAATCTGAATTTCATATTATTAGGAATTTGAAGCAGTTTTAAGGATATCAGATCCTCAGCCAAGAAGGATTACTCTAAAAATTAATATTAAATTTTAAATGCATTAAAATGAAGCTTGAAAATGTTTTTTTTTTATGCAACAATTTTCATTCTATTCATCTTTATATGATTCAAGGTTTTAAGAAGTCTTACAAAAGGTCTTATTAAAGTTGAAATTTGTACCCTATAAAAGGAAAAACAATACAGTTTTAGAGAAATAAGATTTTCTTGAACTCAGCCTAAGATACCAACGCTTATTAGCATGATATGAAATAAGAAGTGATTTGTGGTGTCGTGCAATGTTAGCAAAATCCTTAAAGTTTTACGCTATGTATTATACAACATATGACGGAAATAGAAGACAAACAAAAACCCAATAAGTATAAAAATCATGACAGTTTCTCTGAATGCCTTGATACTTATCGTTTTTTAACCTATAATATATATTCGTTGATCAATTGCAATTATAAAATGCATTGCTGATATTACAATTCCCATTTTTCTGGAAAAATATTGGAGATTTGACATTTTTCCCTAGTATATAATATGATTAACTTTAATCTTCAACTTAAAAAATGTTCTGGATAAATTTACATTACTTTTTATGGATTCATAGATACTTTTTGGAGCGTTTTTGATTTCTTAACTGCTAATTTTATAAATCGGAGAATCGGACTACCTTAAGATAATTTTTCTCGTATAAAACACAAATTTTTCCTGGAAAAATTGTTAATTGAAAAAAAATAAAAATCAGTAGAAAGACCGTGTATCCCTTCATTACCGTTATAATGCCCGACTACAATTAGCAACTATAGAAATAGAAAAATTGTATTTAAGTTATTAAACAAAGCAGTCTTTCGAGATTTTTTTTGAAACACAAGAAAGAGTGTCACGTATACTGTGTACTACGTCATCAGTTTTAAATAGTGTTGATTTAGAAAGCCACAGTGTGGTGATCTGGAACGTCGGATCAGGACGTCACATGATTGAGGAAATACAACAGTAAAACTGAGTGAAATGCAGCTGGGTATATGATATCATATAAATTATATAAGTAGTTGAGTGTAACAATGAAAATTTTAACCCGAATAAAACCTTTTTAAACTGAGGGGCATCCGAGGTTGACAATGGTTTTCGAGGGGTGAAAATTTTCAATGTTACACCCAACTACATGCAATTTTTATTATATTATACTGAATGTTTTATAAAAATACATATAACAGTGAACCGTGCGCGCATAATTTCTGCGCAGTCAATTTTTTTTTGAATATCACCCGTCGTCAAGCAATGTTGACTGTTGCTACGCTGGAGGGCGCGGCTTCATTATTCAGCGGGTAATATTGTTTTTTAACAAATGTTTCTCGACTAATCAGATTCAATAATTTACATGAAAGTATAATATAGATTTATATCGAATGTTTATGAAATAAATATATTATCTAGTTAATCACATAAACTTGTTCACATGTACACATTAATTAAAATGTAGTTCGAATGACGCTGCCTACATTATCTAGATAGTGCAACAAAACAACATATTGGCTCATTTACAAGTGATCGAACAAAAAACCTTTTATTTAGCAATGTATGGCAACGTATCAATACATTTGATGATGTATCACTGTATTCTTATACCATATCATGTAAAAACAATACTATAAAATCACAAATTTTTGTGGTTTAAGGAAAAACTCTTTGTTCGTGGGGATTTGAATTCGTGTATATAGAATAGTTATGTAGTTCTGTTTTTTCAATTTTTACATTTCGTGGTGGACGTGAATTCGTGGGTCTCTTCACATCTCAAAAACAACAAATATTAAACACCCACGAAAAATTGTGAGTTCACAGTATACAGCTTCTATGCTAAGCAAAGCAAATCTGAATTTTGTTTACCGTATCGTCAAAGCTACACGGGTTTTAACATAACAAAGCTTCCATAATTTATGGTCTCATACTTTATAGAAATGGAATTAGAGTACGCACTTGTAGATTTCATTATATTCAAAAGAATGCAGGAAATCGGGAAAAGAGCAGGAGCGGTCACGTTTTTTTTATTTTAATTTGATTTTTAAAACAAATTTTGTAAAGCAGGATGTGGAATTTTTGTAAGATTTCTGTTCAGAATAACTTTGTTGTAGACAATGTATTTTCACCATAATTCCATTTCCTGTTTTATATAGCATTTGAAAGCCAGACCAATAGGTGTTTAAAGAGCAATGTAACAAACATTATCACCATCTATTCCTGATAATAAACTTACATCAAAGCCATGGACAGTTGACTCCATATTTTTTAGATATGGCCTGTGAAAACAAAAAGACAACAGAAAATTAATGTTATATAAATTTGAGCTCAAATTAAGTATACATGTAAGATATTTAAAAAACACTTATTTTTTTTAATGAATCATTCATTCACTGTGTTTTAGGGTATATTGCCTTTTGCCTCACTTTTAACAAAACTGTATCCCCGACCCAACAGTTTCAGGCAGGCAGTTCTGTTGTTATATCAAACAAAGCTCGTTTTGCCTTTGCAGTCATTAAAAATGAATGTATAATCTCAAATGAATCCTGGCGCTTCTTCCGTAAAAAATCGAACTTAATGTCTTCAACGTCTTTTTAATGCATATTTACATTTTTTTCTATTTTGTTAACAATTTACATGCCGATAATTTGAATGTTGTTATATTTTCTTACAAAGGACAGGTACATATGAAAATCAACGAACGTTAGATGGTTATACTTTGTTTATTATCGCATGAATGGTAGTTAAGGCACATTTTGGTGATCATAGTCCATAAACTTAAGGTAGGTCCGTACCTTCAGAATTTTTTGTCAAACTGTCAATTTTTTAATTTGAATACCTTGAATAAGTCTTAAACTAGCTAAAACACCCATAAAAGACATATCTTTGCAGGTTTATTTTCATACAACATGTCTCAGAGCACATATCTCTAAAAATCAACAACCAAAATTGAACATAAAGAAGTGTGATATCATATTTCTTTTAGTTATGCACCAAATCACATCAAATTTATGTTAAAACTTATGAATATCAAATATATTTATTTGCCAAGAGAATATTTGAAATCTTTACCGCAAAACATTAACAAACTGATGTTGAATCTGTCCATGTCTTTCAGAAAAATATCTCAAAAGATCTCTATTTTTTATAATTCTCAAAATCCAAACTGTTTAGATGCCATTTTTTCTTTAAAACTATTAAGAATTATATCTAATGTTAACAAAAACACATACTTAATTATGGTTGACCAGAGAATTTTAACAAAACAGTCTTTTGAAGACGTATACCCCCATTTTTGGAATATCATTTTTTTCAATTATTCATAGCAAAATTTATTAAAAGTAAAAATTAAATGGATGATATAGGCTCTAAGTCAATAAAAATAGATCTCAGGTTAGTTTGCTTAAAAGAAAATTAAAAAGATTTAGGTCCATACAAGCAATTACGAATTTTGTGTCTGTGTATGAACACAATGACTTATAGATTCGATGGACATAGTGCTAAGTGTTAATTTCCATAAATAATGTATATTAAATGCTTTTTATGCACAAAAACACTATAATAAACAAATATATACTTGCTAAATCATTTTCAATCACCCAAAAAAAATATCAATAGACAAGTGAAAATTAGAATTTTAAATTGATGTGTTAAATTAAAACCGGATCCGTAAAAGTGGGGGCCTTCCTTAAATGTGAAATAAACAAAGATATCAAAATGAGTTTTGCTACTCAATTGTAAAAATTATTATATTTCTTTAAAAGCTCCTGATCAGTTTGTTAGTATCTGTTAAATAAACACTTACTCAAACGCAACGATATTCCCCTGAAAAGTTGAATTGGTCATAAAGACTCTGATTCGCATCTCAGCATTCTGCAAAAGAATCAGTTTTAATAAAAAAAAAAAAAAAAAAAAAAAACGTACTGGATATAGATCAAATATTTACATGTAAATGCCTCCAAGATAAATTCTTTGTCATTTTCTGAGACTATCGAATGCTCATCAGTTCAAGTATGTTAGTCGGAGTTTTGAAAATAATCTACCTTTTGTTTATAAAAAATATTTTTAATTTTATTTATTTTTGAAAGCTGTCCTTGATACATATGACTTACTCCATCAAGTTTAGCAATCAGTGTAGAATTTTGTTTTTCCGGGTGCCGAATGTATACAAACATGACTGTATATAATTTTATCACCGCCAAATTCTTCTCAAATGTCACATTTGGCGTCTCCAAGCTGTAGATGTCCAAGTCCATATATTGGTTAGGATATTTCTCTTCAAGCTTAAACGGAAAAAAATCTATTGTTCAAAATGCATTTTTACATGTAAATATTCATGGAGTTAGAGTAAAGTTTCTCTAAAAAGAGAAAAGCAAAAAAGTATCTGAATGTTTTTTTTCTTCGGAATTTTAATAGTCCTGTTCTTGATTCACTATATTTTGAATGAAATATTCAATCCTTGCTTAAACGGGTCTTTTTATTACATAAATTTTAAGTCTAATTTCTTTCAAATACTATTCCCACTTGACCCTAGCACCCTTTGGCAAGAAATGAGTTTTTTTCCTAACAATATCCTGTATCTTTTTGCTTTATGGATAAATAAAAGAATTATTTTCTTTCCTAAAAATAAACCAAGTTTAATTAGTAAATAGAATCGGATAATTTTTTAATAACCTAATAAGGTATTGATAAAAAATATAATTCTTGTTGATAATCACATTTGTACAATTTTAAAAGAAGATTGTTATATCTGGACTTAGGACACCACTTTGATAGTTTTTTTTTTTAAATAATTTAAATTTATGCTTACTCCAATTTAACTTATATATGTTTCTTATCTCCATAGATCACAACATATAGATTAAATAGGTATATAGCTAACATATTTCACTTGATATTGCATAATAAATATTTCAAATTCAGAACAAAGTTAATTCAGAACTTAACTAGGAAATACAACGGGGTTTTGTACACTTACAGGTGAATAAAAAACATCTCCAAAAAATAAGTAAAAACCGTAACAAAATCGTCCTTGTAATTATTCTTATTAAGTTATATATAGACATGGGAATAATATTGAACAAAAGAGATGAAATATAGCTTTTTCAGTTTTTTTTTCAGAATAACAAATTGTATTTATTATTATTAAAAATACAAATATTCAATTTAGTGACTCCAAACTTCTGGCACGAGACGACCGACACAAACTTTCTCTGTGCACGTCGTATTGAGTCCCGGATTGTCGGGGGAAAGCTGAAAAAGGAAAACTAATGACATGGTTATTTTCTAAAAGTAGAAATATACTGTACCGTGTAAATGAGCATTTAAAATTTTTTTACCACATTGACTCCAAGATATAAAACTATCTATCTTTATTGAACAATACATGTAGCTAATGTTTTCCCCATGATTTTATATTTAAATGATCAGATTTTCAAAAACTTGTATTTTGAATCTTAAAAAAAATGATGTTATTGTGTTATGCAGTATGCTACAAATATCAGTCACCAAAATATATTGACTTGTTGGAATAAAGCGTTTAAAAGAATGATGAATTATTAGAATTATTAGTGGTTTTTCTGTAAAATATAGTATTAGTGATCAATATGAGGAAATATTTCTTGCAAACCAATTAAAAGGTGAATTATAATTATATCATGCTAAAAACATTAACCTTCTCAGGGGTGATTTTAAATTTGAGTATTCCATGTGTTTGAGCTCCTTTGAATAAAGATCGGACCGCCTCTTTAGAAATCCAGATGTACACCATTTTTGATGATTCATTATGTAGGGTATAACTAACATTTTCAGTGTTACTTATTTTGTCCATAGACGGAAACCATAGTACGTCACCCTATAATGGAAAAGAACTGTATTTATTCGGAATGTTATAAGTTCAAGTGATTTTTGTTTTACAATTTGAATTATTAAACCAAGGAGTTCTGATTCCCTTATGTCAGGTTCCATATACTCTTCATTCTTAAAACATTAGACTAATGATAAAAAGCTTATTAATCTTTTCTTCGATATCAGTATTATTTATTGATTGATTGATATTATATTGCTTAAAGTCCCTCTTGAGAATTTTTCACTCATATGCAGACGTCACCGTATGCCGGTGAAGGGCTTCAAATTTTGACCTTTACTCGGCACTTGAGCAGTGAGGGATCTTTATCCTGCCAACATCTGCCGCTGACGGGCCTTTGTTTTTAAGGTCTCATCCGAAGGACCCGCAACTTTCACTTCAAAGTGCCCAGCGTATGGCGAAGGAACAGTTGCTACCCATTGTCAGGTCAGTAGCGGCCGAGATATTAACTCACGACCTCCCGATCACGGATCAATATCACCATGATCTTCCCGTTTAATTTTTAACTTACCTGACCTTGATAATATTGAGAGAGATGTGTTAGGTTTTTAGGTTTTGAAAACAGTTTAAATTGGGGAAACACATCATGTATTTGTTGCATAAACTGGTCTCAAAAATGTTCGTATAATTATGTAACAATTTTATGTACCAATTAACCAAGGTATCAATTTTATGTTTCTATTTTTCACGATTTAAGAGACTTACAGTCTGACATACATGTAACATATACACCTGAAATTTCATCTTATTTCATAAAGCACTTCTGCCATTTACTCGTACTAACCTGATACTTGTGAAATATTCCTATTCGATTTTGTGATATGAGGGGAAAATGTGACAAAAAAAAAGAAAAGAAAAACAAGCAAACAAACAAACAAAACAACGAATTACAAGTATCATTTCATCTTAAACTCTTAATGTGCAGTACATCTAAAGAAGGTCAAGCCAGGTATTCCCAGTATGCAGATGATACTACTCCTTCTTGGCTCCTGATCCCACCTCTCATGTATCAGAGGTCAGAGTTTGCCTTGTTTCCGCTTTGTATTTTTTGAATGGACTTTTGAACTCTGTGGCTTTACGTTATCTCTATGCATTTCAAAGGCTTTGACGAATGGTGAGATATTTAATATTACCTTATGATATGTATTTAGAAATGAGGACTCATATTTTGGTTGTTGCTGCATCAGAAGATTCGCAATAAATGGAGTTTGTCCTATCCTTGGAGTCACTATAATTATAAAGAAGAGATCGCTTCTTATTTAATCTATATTTGAAAGATATTTCATATAACATAAAAGCCTACCTATAGTTTAATTTAATTGCCGTGGTTTAAATTTGAAATCGGTTGATATACAGTTACAATGTAATATAAAATATACAAAATTAGTGTACCTTCAACCAATTATTAACTTTTTCACAATATGATGTTTTACGACAAAACGTTAAAAACGAACAAAAACACTTACAAATAATTGTGTTCATTTCTGCATCGCCTCTTGCAAAAAAGTAGAACCGTGCTAAGAAACACAACTGGAAAAAAATAAAACGTGTCCAAAAAACAAAATAAAACAATTGAAATATATCACAGTATATGTTCATTGTTGTTGCATTCAGGACTACATTTGCGGAAAATCACTTATGACAACTCAAGCATTTTAGCGTATTTCTAAAAAAAATATTTTTGTTTTATTTTTTAATGTTCTCCTTTATGTCTCAAATGGAGAGTTAAAGCAGATATTCTGCTGCTTATATGTTGCTTTTTCTACTTCGGTTTTCTAAAGAAACGCTTCAGATTTGTTATTGGTAACACATTGTTTTTACATGTACATTACCTCAAATTGTATCACTGTAACGTCATATTCGCTTTACACTTGCATCTGTGATATCAATAATTTAAAAGAAAGCAACCTCACTGAAAAATACAGTTACATGTATTTAGTAAGAAAAAAAAAACATTGTACCTTTGCCTGAGTAAGTCGTTCTTTTTTAAATTTTTCTTCAAGTTCTAACAAATTTGTTTCACATAAGGATTCTGCGAGTTTATCACAATTTGTGACCCATATCTTGAGATCTGGTGTCGAAATGATGCAGCTGCCCTTCTCTTGTTTCATCGACACATTAAACCTCCCCTGTCTATTTGTCCCTTCAATATTTTAAATAATCCTATAAACAAGACAAATTTAAAATTCATCTTAGTGGATAACAACTAGCTTCTAGGAATAAAGAACTTTCTTAGGAGGTAATATGTTATAATGATTTGTTGAAAGTTCAGCCCGTAAATTATTATTTTCATTAATATTTTAAAAGAATATTAATTCAAAAGCATACCAAAACTAGTCTGGCCTAATCATTTGATCTAGGATTCAATATACATGTAAACTCTATTTTGGCTCCAAATCCAACTAGGACTCAAAAAATGACAAGGACAAACTTTAATGTAGTAACGTATTTAAATAACCCCACACCATTTTGTTAATTTTGTTAATGTTTGCTAGGATTTTTTAAAGAGAGGTTTAATTAAAATGCTTCAGGAAACATCTTTTTATAAAAGAGATCACTTTTGCAGCAAACCAATGTTTAATTTGGCTTTCCGCCATTTATGAGGTCACACTGAGATCATATGATCTTTACGGTTCGTCTGGTAAAAAGAATGGGGCCAATTTTTATAGTAAATATGCCATGATAAAGCTAATATGTTTCAAAACCATGAGCCAAATAGTTTATACATGTAATTTAAATACATGTAATTTAACATAATTTCTTTACCTATTACAACGAGGAAATTTCCCGACCCAGAGATTGTCATTTCAATTCCACAACGCTGAACATTTCTGATTGAAAAATAAATATGCAATTGTTTAAAATTTCATTTGATGACAATTTAATGTTGATTGCATTACTTTGATCGATAGACCAATAGATATATTTTTTGTACATTTAAAAAAAAACACATATTGACTTTGGTATCTACTTTGTTGACTTTTTTAAAATGTTGTCATATGCGTGTTTTTGAATTATTATTAGAAAGTAAACAATTGAGGAATATGACATGTACAATGAACATGACCCCGCAGAAAAATATTATTATCGAAATATATCCCGATATTGTTAACAAATTATTATTCCCGAGTGCTTTTCATCGCAAAAAGCTCTTTGACGTCAAATTGCGAGTCAATAATTCGTGAGTAGACAGTTGATCTATGAAATTTCACATTGGTTTCAGCACCATAAATATAAAACTGAGTTATATTACTTGGTGGTACTTCCTGGTTCTTTTCGCGAGATTACGCATTAATTTATTCGTTTCCTACATGTATATTTAGAAATATACACTATAAATTATTAAGAACTTCTTCCTGCTAAAATATGATAAAATAGTCGCTATCAACCAAGTCCGGAAAAATACATCTATTATAAAGTATTTATTTCCGCAAACATTACTGTCAAAGGCTTATACAAAACAGTCCTTGGCAGAATCTAAAAAAAACTCAACAAAAACCTTTTTAAAACCATGTAAACCACCCATTTAGATAAATCATAGGGGATATTTTTTTACGAAAATCTTAAAGATTTAAAAAAAAATCAAGTTTTATTGATATTGAAGTTCATACTTCAGATGTTTACAAAACTGTCCACATTAATATATTACTAGTATACTTTATAAATTATCTGAGATTATCGGATATTTTCTTTATTTCTAGATCATAATTATGTGAGTGATTGATTGATTGATTGTATACTGCTTAACGTCCCTCTCCAGAATATTTCACTAATATGGAGACGTCACCCTGCCGGTGAAGGGCTGCAATGTTAGGCCTATGCTCGGCATTTACGGCCTTTGAGCAGGGAGGGATCTTTATCGTGCCACACCTGCTGTGACACGGGGCCTCGGTTTATACGGTCTCATACGAAGGACCACCCCATTAAGTCGCCTTTTATGACAAGCAAGGGGTACTGAGGACCTATTCTAACCCGGATCCCAACGGGGCAATTAAGTGAGTGCTTGTATTTAATTTAATGAAAATGAAAACTTGCCAGTGGAGGCATTTAATTTTTTTCTTAACTGGGCACTCAGTGCCATTTATCTGTTAGGGACCTATTTCGCACCAGCATCTTCCTCTGCGCAGGACCTCGGTTTATACGGTCTCATCCGAAGGACCGTTTTCTACCTCCCACAGTGGTATTCAAATCCGCGACCTTAAGATCGACTCCTTACTTCGCGACTTCAGAGCAGAAGCTCGACCCACTGCGCCACGCTGGCGACTGTCGATAATTCAAAAATATTACAGCGTATGTGTTTGGTCTGCAGGAGATCCTCACTCATTCATGGCACCTGATCCCACCTCTGATGTTTTAGAGCTCCATGTTTGCTCTGCTCAATATTTGTATTGTAATTTAAATTACCTTTTATCCTTAGCTTGACACTCAACTTCTCCACTAGCGTTTACTGAAAGACTATGGACTGTAACATTCAATCCAGGATTTTCATTGATAAGAATCGATGCATTTAGATTAGCATAATCTGTATATATTAGCCTGCAAAATAAAAATGATATTATTAATAATGTAGAATTTCCATTTTTTTTTTCTAATATAAAATTCATGTAAATTTTAAGAGGTCATTGCCGGAATACTTATTGAAAATTAGAAATCAATCTACAGAAATATGGAAAAAGATTCTTGAAAGATTATTTAAAGAGTAAATCTTCTCAATTTTAAGTTGTTGAAAGTATTATGGAAAACCGGAAAGGAGAAAATATTGAAAATAGTGTTTTTAAGTTGTATCCTCGGTAGTGTAATACAAATCTAATACTATGATCAAAATTAAGGGAAAAAAAGAGAACGGTTACTTTTGAATCGAATAGCTGACATTGCTTGTAGTCACATTTGCTGTGGGTATGCTGAATGCTGTCAGATTCAGTTTCTTAACAGACTCCAAGACTGTATTCATGGCTAAAAAAGGCAATAAAATTCAATTTTCAATATATATTTATATGTTGTTAAACAAAAAAAAATAAGTTATAAAATAAACTTTGGTTTATTTTTTCAAATCATTTATCAGTAATAAAAATTATCAATTTCTTTATAATTACTTTAATTTATAATTCCTTAAAACATGAAATTATAATGTCATCATTTTGAAAGAATAATTCTTCTAACTGTTCACTAAAACTAACAACACTAAAGCTGAGGCCGTGAATTATACCGTAGGTAAGGCCTTTCTGTGTGAGCCTAATGACAACTCCAACGTTAACAGTCTCGTCCTCATTAGAATTCCTCACAAAGAAAACCAGCAGTGTGAGCATTAAAACACCCATGGTTCGGCAATGCTGAAAAAAGTATTGTTTACAAAGAACCATCAATATTAGAATTAATGTAAATATATCTACACTGACATATTTCTTTCTCAACTTATTATTACATCTACGAAATCGTACCTAAACAAAGATAGCTAACCATTGGTTAGCGCATTTGCTCCAGATTGTCCGAGTGAGGACTTACTTCCAATCTCTACCCAGAGTTGTCGTTCGCTTAGCTACAACACCTCTGTCAACGTCTAAATGCCAAGATTCTTGGCAAAACTTACTTTCACCTATTGCATAATAAATTATGATTGTAAAACTTCCATATTCTTCTTTAACATGTTAAATAAAAGTTTATTTATGAGAATTAGAATCAGATATCGCTTTTTCACCATATCCTATAAGGGATTATTTCTCGGCAGGATATTACGAACGTGGAAAATTTAAAATGCATTGCCGATAAATATCAACATGATTTAGCTTTTATAAACAAACAACTTGCAGCATTAACACATATATAGAAATGTAAATGTGTTAATCTTCTTGTGGACAATTTTAAACAACATTTGAAAAAAAAATCACGTCCCTCCGCTTCCGTACTACTTTTTAGACGTTGACAGAGGTATAAGTGGAACGATAACTCTGGGTAGAGGTTGACTTACTTCATACCTATCGGGTTCAGATTCACTGTGTGGAAGAGTCCGTTTGAATAGGGCGTATGATCCGTGTCGAAATTGGTGACGGAACGAACACGATCCCTCACTGCTGAAGGAGTGTTAGAACTTCAGTTGTGTTCAAAATTCTGAAAACGACACTAAACGAATAAAAAAGCGTCAGTTATAATTAAGACATCTAATGAAAAGGTGTTTTAATTTATATAAAATCTCGTTAAATATCGATTGGGGCTTTGTTATTTGCCTCATAAAGATAAAATATTGCCCTCAATATAATATTCATACATAATGTCTTCTCTTATTTGTCGCATACGAAAATTAAGTTAAAAGGACTAAAATGTTTATCAAGTCAATTAAAACATATATAAAAATAAATTTATCAATCGAAACAACTAATACCTCCAGTTACATTATTACTTCCTCTTCATAAGATAACAACTTGTAAACAAGACTTTTTGGAATCGCAGAATAAAACGGCCATCCTTTCGAGTGGTATGTTTTTAAATAAGGAAGTTTAAAAAAACCCAGTTTTTAGCTGTTAACCAGTGTGAGATAAATGAACCTAGTATATATTTTGCACTTCCTTAACGACATACGAACGAGCCGGAAGTTATAAACATAATATAAATATTACAAAAAACGGTGTGATTAAAATGTGTAAATATTAATTGAAAAGCTTTGTAATTATCGTTCTATTATCATTATTATAATTGCGTTCATGTAAAGATGCTAAAAGTTTAACCATACCATGAATGCATTAGAAAAAAATATCATTTTGGCTAAAATAGATTAAAGATATTTCTTGTTAGGGGCTGATGAAGGGCAACAGATTTTGAAATTAAAATATTGCAGACTCCTAAAATTATTCAAATGTCCAAATATTCCTGTGGTGTTTACATGTAAGTATATTCTGACGATCAGAGTGAAAACATTAAGTGATCATCTGATTTAGTTTACTTTTTAAATAAAATTGAAAGTGCACAAACAGGATCCCATTTGATTTCTTCAATGAACAAGGATTCCATTTTTCACAACTTTTCTTTCTGTATTTTGCATTACAATCAAAAGAAAATTCGGTTATATATGTGTAAAATATATCAAATACATGTACATGTATCACAATTTCATAAACAGACTTTAGATATATCCTTTGATAACACATGAATAAGAATTGTGTTCGTTTGCCTCACTCAAAATATGAACAAATACCATGGCAATTTTACACTTTTCAAAAACTACTTTTGTTAATATATTCATAAAATGCATTCTGTTTAAGAATATATAAATACACACTTTATGTATTCTTATGCTTATATGCAAGCTCACCGCAGCTTGTTTTTGCAAATTTTGTATTAGTCAAATAAAACACTTTCATAGAGATGAATAATGTCATTTATCAAAATGACGGTATAAATGTGAACAATTTAACAAACAAGAAGGGGATCAGATTCACAAGCTTTGATTAGCAGTTACGTAAAATATGATAATGTCTGATCCCCCAAAACTGACTAGAAAAAAGTATCTGTAAGACAAGACAATGAAAACTTCATATGAAAAAGTTAGCAAAAAGATGGCACATCAAAACAAAATAGGCACTTCATATGAAAAAGTTAGCAAAAAGATGGCACATCAAAACAAAAACAAAGTAGAATCAAAACATCATATTAAAAAGTTAGCCAAAAGATAGCACATCGAAACAAAATAGGCCAATGATAGTAGTGAAACAAAATACATAAAACAGTATAAACAAATCGAGTCAGAACTAATGAAATATATGATTTTACATGACACATTAATACCCATTTTTAGGGGTAGGAATGCAGGGGTGGTGGAGGGTCTTCAAAATAGACTTGCTTCATTTTAGCGTGGTCAGCATGCGGGTTATCACAATACAAATAAATGACTCGCTTAGCTGACCACGTGACCTTACACCTTCTATCACACGTAATTCATCAACCAAGGCGTGGATCTAAGAATTTTCACATTTTACCAAAATTAATCCTATCGAAAACCTCCAACTAAGTTATCGCATTCAATACATAAATACAATTATTATTCTAATAATTGTTGTTTTATGTATTCTTATGCTTATATGCAAGCTCACCGCAGCTTGTTTTTGCAAATTTTGTATTAGTCAAATAAAACACTTTCATAGAGATGAATAATGTCATTTATTAAAATGACGGTATAAATGTGAACAATTTAACAAACAAGAAGGGGATCAGATTCACAAGCTTTGATTAGCAGTTACGTAAAATATGATAATGTCTGATCCCCCAAAACTGACTAGAAAAAAGTATCTGTAAGACAAGACAATGAAAACTTCATATGAAAAAGTTAGCAAAAAGATGGCACATCAAAACAAAATAGGCCACAAGATGTGACATGCAAGTCACATCCATGTTAGATGTGACATGCAGATCACATCCGTACCATCCAAGGTGAGCTTGCACACAATACGAATTATTCATGGAAGCAGTTAATCACTGGTCTCTCCATACATTTCGTTTTAAAGTAATGAAATGAAAAATCTTCCTATCATTATTCCAAAATCACGGTTTACACGAAATTGTCATATGTAATACAAAATGAAGGAAGAACATCTAATGATATAATATCCGAGAAATGTTAAGAAATATAGGCATTACTAAGTAATTAAAAGTATGAAAGAACAATAATTTCAGAATAAATGATATAACAATCACAAAGTATTCTATGAGCCAGCAAGCAAGCTAGGTGAAGAGGGGTGTATTTTAATATCTAACAGCAGTTATTCACTGACCTGTCAGTGTGCAAAAGAGCATGTTCTTTAAGGTACTATACTTGTAGGAGTAAAACAATACAGCAGTTAATCACTGACCTGTATTTATACTACATTCTATTAGCTGACTATTTATCATGAGTAGAACAAAACAACAATTAATCACTGACCTGTATTGAACTACCTCCTAGTATCTGACTATTTATTGTTTATAGAACAAACAGCAGTGAATCACTGACCTGTATTTTAAGTACATCCTAGTATCTGACTATCTATCATGAGTGGAACAAAACAGCAATTAAACACTGACCATCACTGAAGTATCGGTACATTATAGAATCCATTCTAGAATCTGGCTATCCATTGGGAGTAGAACAAAATTTATATGTTTGAGGTCTAGTAATTTAAGCAAACTTAAATTTTGCAATTTCTACCTTGTGATGAGTGATAGTGTCCTTGAGTATGACACAAGGTTAGTGAAAATTACATACTCAACCTTGAATTATTTAATTTTCCCTACTTATACTACTTTTAACTGTTTAGTTCCAATTTGTAAATTATAGATTTGAATTAGAAATTGAACAAAATCTTCAACAATCCCAATAATACCTGCAAAACAAGTGTTCCTCTTAGAACTGTAGAACCAACTGTGGTATACATTAATTTCATGAATTATTTCCTTTTAATGGAGGAACATACCATGCGGTTATTCCAGACAGTATGAATAAGTTTTACAAGGTGAAGGTTAATATTATTATGATCTTAAGCAAATCGTGAAGCAAATCATGAATATAATGTGAACTTCCCAGATTATACTGAATTTTGTAAATAGCATCTAATATCCCTAAAATAAGATTGCATGGAAAGTCGCCTTAATGTTAAACTAGCAAACTTAAAGGTGTTTAAAGTCTTAAAATCTTATTACTAAAGGCATAGTACAGAGGTAATTAATTGAAGGGGTATAATTAGCCTATACCAAAGCCTATTTAAGCAAACGATAAAATATTTTCTTGCAAGATACATAACCTATGATTTTATTTGTAAGAATACTTTGTTTAAGGACAAATTCCTTCCCTATAGATTATGTTTATTATTAAAGACACATTATTTAATTTGTTGCATTAAAGGAACATTAATCCTGATTTTTGTCATGTTCAAATTTGTCACATCTTTAATCTTGATTCCAAACGAGATTACTCATTCCTTTGACTGGATAGTCCTAGCATATAGAGTGGATTGTTTACCTGTTGAAGGACATATCCCTCCCATAAGTATTTAAAACTGAAGAAGTGAGAATCCTATCCTTAATTTATTAATAGAAAGGTCAGTTGTAAAAGGGGATCATTTGTGATGTGGATAATTGGAATCTGTAATACAATTTGCTTGCTGACTCACCTGCAAATGTTTTCTAAGAAACCAAGTTTCAAGATCTAGCTAGTATGGATGCTTTCTCAACCAACGTTAGCGGATATCCTGGTCATTCAGCTGATCTAGGGCACATCCATGGCAGCACTGCTGCAGTTTTGCTGGCACATACATGTATCTGCATCTTATATAAGGTTATTGCATGGTAAAGTCAAAAAGTGTCAACCAAGTTTTGAACTTTTAAATATAGATGTAATATATAAAATTCACGGCATTAGGCACAGCTTCATTTGGTTCCCTAGGCTATGGAGATTATCTCAGTTCCCTCTTAACTGGAATTAGTGGAATGTTATGTTGAGGGTTATAAGGATTCTTTCCCGAGGATCTGTGTTCTCACTGATTGTTCGGGATGTATCTACAATGTACTTTAAAGTTAATTTTTTATCATTACTCATCCAAGTACAAAGTGCTCACAAGGGAGGATACAACCTTAAAACTGGGATGCAAAATTAGGTCTACATGAGCAAACAATGCAACAACAAAAGAAAGGAAACTTTCTTTAGAATGAATATACTATCAATAACATTAATATTAGCTTCAAAAGGAAAAACCGTGCCAAAAGTTAGATATGCTTTATAAGACACAATTTGAATGTTATTACGAGCAATTAACAATCAACACTATAAGTAACTTTGACCCTACCAACAGATGTGCTTCATAAGACACCATTTGATCAAGTTGATTGTCATTATAAGCGAATAAAAACAATATGGGTAATTCTGACACAACCATAATCAGATATGATATGCTACATAAGATGCCAATTGACTGTTATTAGAGGCAGTAAATAATCAACAACATAGGTAACTTCGACCCAACAATGAATAGATATGCTTCATAAGACGTCAATTGATTGTCATTATGAGCAGACAACAATAGACACTCTGACCCATCAATAAACAATATAGGAAACTCTGACCCAACAATAAATAAACAATATGGGTAACTCCCAGCCAACAATAGACAATATGGGTAACTGTGATCTAACAATAAACAATATGGGTTACCCGACTCTTCGATAACAATATGAGTAACTCTGACCCAACAATAAATAAACAACATGGGTAATTCCGACCGAACCATAAACAGTATGGATAAATCTGACGCAACAATAAACAATAAAGGTAACTCTGACCCAACAATAGACAATATGGACAAGTCCGACCCAAACAATAAACAACATAAGTAACTCCGACCCAACAATAAACCGAAAAGCTTCATACGACGCCAATTGATTGTCAGTATGAGCATCCAACAATAAAACAATATGGGTAACTCCGACCCAAACAATAAACAATATAAGTAACTGAGACCCAACAATTAACAATGTGTGTAACATCGACCCAACAATAAACCGAAAAGCTTCATACGACGCCAATTGATTGTCAGTATGAGCATCCAACAAAAAAAAAAAACAATATGGGTATACTGACCCAGAAGGTACAAATCTACTGTGTACCAAAACAATATGGGTATACTGACCCAAAAGGTACAAATCTACTGTGTACCAAAACCAAACAAATTTGGGTATACTGACCCAAAAGGTACAAATCTACTGTGTACCAAAACCAAACAAATTTGGGTATACTGACCCAGAAGGTACAAATCTACTGTGTACCAAAACCAAACAAATTTGGGTATACTGACCCAAAAGGTACAAATCTACTGTGTACCAAAACCAAACAAATTTGGGTATACTGACCCAAAAGGTACAAATCTACTGTGTACCAAAACCCCAGAAGGTACAAATCTACTGTGTACCAAAACCAAACAAATTTGGGTATACTGACCCAAAAGGTACAAATCTACTGTGTACCAAAACCAAACAAATTTGGGTATACTGACCCAAAAGGTACAAATCTACTGTGTACCAAAACCAAACAAATTTGGGTATACTGACCCAAAGGGTACAAATCTACTGTGTACCAAAACCAAACAAATTTGGGTATACTGACCCAGAAGGTACAAATCTACTGTGTACCAAAACCAAACAAATTTGGGTATACTGACCCAAAAGGTACATTCTACTGTGTACCAAAACAATGTGGGTATACTAACCCACAAGTACAAATATTGTGCACCAAAACAATATGGGTATACTGACCCAAAAGGTACAAATCTACTGTGTACCAGACAATAAACAACAAAGGTAACTATGATCCAATAAGTAAATATCTACTGTGTACCAAACAATATGGGTAACTCTGACCCGATAAGTACCTATCTACTGTGTACCAAACCAATAAACAATTAATATGCCAATGAATAACTTTGACTCAATAGGTAAAACCTTGTACCAAAACAATAAACAACTTATGCAACACTGAACAAATAGCTACATATCAACTTTTTATCAAAACCATAACATGATAATCTTGAAAGAGTAATACTGATCCCATTAGTACATAATTATAAACTTTGTACAATGTACTAAAATAATCAACCACTTGAGTAACACCGATTCAATTTGTAAGTATCAACTTTGTATCAACAGTTTAAACCATTAACAACACCAACCCAATAAGTACATAAATTATCCACTATGTACCGAAATGATAAACATCTTGAGTAATCATGTAAATATTGTCTACACCAACCAATTTAGTACATATATTTTGACTACATATTACATGTACAATATTCATTCAATATTTATCAATATACAAAACATGAAATGTTACCTATAAACTTTGTACCAAAACTGATCAAACAATAATGGGCAATTCAAGAAATACCACAGTATAGTAACTATTTGAACTATGTATATAAAGCTTAGTCCACAACCCTTAAACTCCCAAGAGTGAAAATGAGATGTTGGTACCTGTATTAACATAATTACAATACACATTTCTCAACTAACTGTACAAGATAGCTGACATTACCTATCAGATGCCTGTTAAGGAGGGACAGTGTCTTAACGATGCTGCCTAGCTGTTTTACATCATGTTGAATGCAAAAACTTGAAATATGCAGACTATGATAGGTAATTCTTGTAGTTCAACAAAACTAAATAACTTTGCATAAAGTTGCTAACTTAAAAGCTTACCATAGAGCATGATAGAGTATATATGATTTGAGTATTAAACAATGCCTTTGAATAATGAAAGTGATAACTTGTACAGAAAAACTATTTGGGAAACCCCAAACGCGTTATGTATAATTGTAAATCACTTATATTTAGTAAACATAATACTGGCCTTCGTCCTCAATTACACGGGAAGGCAAACTCTCTTATGCACGCGGAGAAGCAGCACAGGTGTACGCCAGCTGGACCTAAAACGCCCAAGTCGTTGAGGTTCAGGGTCTCCCGCTGTGGCCCCAGCTGTGAAATAGCGATGCTTGCAGCAGATACTTGCAGGATGTTCGTTATCTATCACAACTTTTTGTTGATCAAACTCTGTGTCCACTGATCATGGAGATCGATATAGAGATAATAATCATTAAAGGTATCCATTTGTTTCGTTCAACCAGTAACAAATAGCTTACTTTGAAATCCTCTCAAAAAAGTTCCACGTCTGATGTCGCAATAAAGTAGCTCCATAAAATATGTTCTTCTCATGAATATCTGCTCATAAATAAAGTTCATATCGGCAGAAAATTGCACCAAATGTATCATACAGTAATCTGGTAATATATATGATAACCCGCGCACATATTATGTACCACCGCATCACTAAACAATAAACCAGAAAATCCACACGTTCTTGTAAACGGCACTTTATAACACGGACAATATTTTGTTCCTTTCAATTCTTAGGAATTTCATCTCGACAGAAAGCCAGGGCACGTTCAGCTAAGTTAAACAATCACAGAAGTTGTAACAAATCTTCAAAATAGACTTGCTTCATTTTAGCGTGGTCAGCATGCGGGTTATCACAATACAAATAAATGACTCGCTTAGCTGACCACGTGACCTTACACCTTCTATCACACGTAATTCATCAACCAAGGCGTGGATCTAAGAATTTTCACATTTTACCAAAATTAATCCTATCGAAAACCTCCAACTAAGTTATCGCATTCAATACATAAATACAATTATTATTCTAATAATTGTTGTTTTAGGGAAATGATAATAAATCTTATATGGGAATCTTCTAAAATAAAGTTAAGATGCAGGTTTGATTAAATCAAAAGTAACAGAATACTCGCTTGAGAATGCATAAACTGTTCGGATGTCTCTCCGTCCGTCCATTTATCTGTACGTCTGTCCGCCCTTCTGTCTGTACATGTACAACCGTACGTCTCTTTCTAGCTCTTTGGATGTCTATCTCCGTAGCTCCTCTTATATTATGGAATGTTATTTGATTATACTTATACAGAATCTTTGTTAAATTGTGGCCCTTTATTTTCGTTTTTCACTGTACGCATATTTTTGGGTTTTCGAGAGCAAAATATGGACACTATTATTCTTTCTATTATAAAAAGAATGAGGGTACCTATTTCTTATCAACAACTCATCATATAACATTGAATAGAATTTAATGATACATGTACAGTCAGAAATTAGTTTTAATAACGTCTATAATCTTTATGAGCATAATCACCCAACATTTCATTTCTAATGCTTGCAAAAGTTGAATACGAGTGTGTCTTTACAGTATCTGTTTGCATCATTTTAAACACCCCTGTATTGTTGGTATCAGTGCCTTTATTTCTTTTCTTCTTACGTCCATGTACTTGCAGAGAAATCACATCGTCATCCATTGTATTTCGATCATTCCCTTCAAGGGTGGTGGAAATATTTGCCTTCGTCAAAGTATTCTTTGTATTTCGATGAATTTTCATCATTCTTGTTAAAATTAGCACGAAAAGGAATATAATTCCTGCTGTTATTATTATAAAGATTTTTATAAACATGGAAATGGAAATTCGACTTCCGGTTTTGCGAGAGAAATCCAATGCTCTGATATCTGTTGTATTTTCTAAAATAAAAGACAAGGAGAAATGTTCATTGTTTTGTAATATTTCATGATTAATTTTAAGTTATTAATTAATTAGATATGATGCCTAATTTAATGCGGGATTTCACCTATGCTCTAAATTAAAAAGAAAATAAATTCACGTTTAATACAATTAAACCATGAACTCTATCGCAGATCGTATAATATTTTTTAAGTAATTACCTATGATGCTGACACAGCCACTCCGATAATCGCAATATTCTACGCTACATAAGCATTCCCCTTGACATTGTTCTCCATACCCCGGGTACCGACACCTACGTAAGCAATTCCGACCAAAATATCCAGCGAGACATTCTACAATTACAGAAAGAACGCAACCTGACTACACAAAAAAGTATCTATGAGGATTTAGGTCCTAGAGTGAAATGTTTTAATTAATTTTACACGTAAACATTAATTGAAAAAACAATGTATATATAACAATCTAAGTAGTGGTTTTAAAGAAATAATAAATTATCTGCATTTAAAAAATGAAATGAATTACCTTTGCAAACATTTGCTTTCTCGTCGAAAAAATACTCATCACATGTACAAGTCCCTTCCTTATTCTCCCGGTTAAACAAACCATTATTTCTAAAAATTAAATTTGCACTTTTTGTTTACAATGTTTTTTGTCCATATAAAACCAATATATTTATTGTACTCACATTTGGCATCCCTCTATTATGACAAGAAAGGTTACATTTAAAATGATAAACGATTTTATCTTACAAATATTAAGCCGTTTAAGTCCGTCAAATAATTTAAAATGCATTTTTACATCCTTGCAGTTGAAATAATGGCTGAAAAAGATATACACATATGCCTATATATAGAAATTAAAAAAAAGGCAACATAGGTTTCTACGTACATAATACAATTCTTATATCTAAATATTTAAAAAATATCCTTTTTTAGCGTATTGATTTCCTTCTATAAAGGAATTTAAACTTAACTATTTTTTCCCATTTCCTCCCCTTTTTGATCCATCATTGTTGCTTAAACGTCCCTATTTGGGAATTAATGCATTGGAAAATATTTTTTCCTGTTCCTGTTGCTTGATTTTTTTGTGTGTAAAAAAATGTGGTATTTAAAAGTTCACTGATAGATGATATGGCGTAATTATTTTCGGACAATTATAGGGAAAAATCTCTGAAATTGCTCTAACAACATCAATTTTATAAGCAATGCACGAAGATAAAGAATCGAATGATCCCTCTCTTAAATGTTCAAGATATCGATGGATATTATATTAAAAACTGACATCCGACAAAGAAATATACTAGCAATTTAAATAATGCTAAATTTTAACAAAAAAAAAAAAAAAATTGGCGAAAATATGATAATTTGGGGCTTTTGCAACAAAATTTGAACATGGTCAAATAGTAAAATTTACAACATTAGAGACGGCGCCATATCTTTTAAAATCTTCTTCTCCAGAACCATTGGACTAGGAAAGATGAAACTAAAGGCGTCACAACGGGAGATCAAGTTATATATTGGAAAAATCTTTAAGAAACTTAATTTCAAGTATGAGGTTGATTTTTCAATGAATGAGGAATTTTTTTTGTTAAAATTAAAAATAGAAGAAATGTACGAAAGCTGAAGCTATTGTAGTTATAACCGTTATTATATTTGTACGTTTGAAAATAGAACCGGGTCCAGATGAATGTTTTCTCATTGTAATGTGTTGAATTTTCTGCAAAATAAAATACAGAAAATTAATATACAATTTTATTAGACATTAAAAAAGTGTTGATGACTTTGAATTACATGTATATACTGTATGATACATGATCTCAAATATGACGCCGAAATGGAATTAAGACATCTTTTCAAATGGACTGTATTGTAAAATATCTTTTAAAAAAATTATAACCCCATGCATGGACTACAATCCTCATCTGAGGAGATATGGTCGTTCTGTTGATAAAAATATTTAAAATAAAAGTAAGATCATATATTATGGCCCATCTAAACACTATATAGATATTGCCACAACCTAACGTCAAGTTTACTGATTTGAAAAAAGTAAATCTGAAAAGGCTAAAAACACCTTATAAATATACATTATCGTGGCCTTGTTTACTGTAGAGGCACTCTTGCTCATCATAACTATGTACTGAGTTTGTTTATCTAATACCCAGAAGCAGAGAAGAAGATTTTCAAAGAATAAATGCATTTTCACTATATAATCAATAGAGTCCCGCCCTAACACCAGAAACCCTGACCCTGGGGTCAAACAATTCACAATTTCAGAAGAGGCGCTCTTGCTTATCATAACTATATACTTAGTTCATTTATTTAATACCCAGAAGCAGAGAAGAAGATCTTCAAAGAAATAATGCATTTTCATTTATCGATATTATCTATATAGCCCGCCCTAGCACTAAAAACCCTAACCCTTGGGTCATAAAATTAACAATTTTGGAAGAGGCACTCTTGCTCATCATAACCATGTACTTAGATCGTTTATTCAATATCCAGGAGCAGAGAAGAAGATTTTCAAAGAAATAATGCTTTTTCACGATATAATCAATAGAGCCCCGCCCTAACACCAGAACCCCTGAACCAGGGGCCATAAAATTCACAATTTTGGAAGAGGCATTCTTTCTTATCATGACTTTAAAGTTATTTTATTTAATACCCAGGAGCAGAGAAGAAGATGTTTATATAAATTATATATTATTAATTATATATTATATATTAATATATAATCTATATAGCCCCGCCCTAGCTCTAGAACCCCTGACCCTTGGGCCATGAATTTCACAATTGTGGTAGAGGACTCAATGTTCATTACATTCATGCCAACAGTTTGTCTGTTTGATTTCAAAAAGTTAAAAAGATTTTTAAAGATTGCAATAATTTTAATGGTTTTTGCCCCACCTCTCAGGGGATCATAAAATTCGCAATTCATGTTTCCCTTCACCCATATATGCTGTATACATGTTCCAAATTTGGTTGAAATTGGCTCAGTGGTTTCAGAGAAGAAGCTGAAATGTTCAAACTTTAACATACATGTACGACGCAGGACGTACGACAGACGACCCACGACGGACGAAAACGGATAGCAATAGGTCACCTTAGTTACTCAGGTAACTTAAAAAACATTTTAAAGAAGATGGTCCATTGGCTAAAGTGTCACCAGAGTATACTTTAACTATGTTAAAAATCCTAAGTATGAAATTAAATAATTCTAAGTTCAAAAACCAAACACAGGATGGTCAGGGATCTTAAATACAGTCACGATAATCGACAACAACTAGTGCATTTTCGTATTTAGTCAGTGCCAGTTTTTCGTTTATGTTAAGCTAAAGCATTTAAGGTTTAACTTATCAAACCAATTTCAAATTACATTGTTTGTACATCTGTTTGCTATGAAATGTAACCAGGTTCATCTTCTCTCATTTCAAAGATCATAAAATGACTTTCAATAAAGAAAAACCCATATATTTACAACATCACCATAAGTCGCAATAACTAATCCTTTGTAAATACAATATGATATTTAAATTTAGAATTAGCTTCAGTTAATTAATTATATTGGAGATTCAATGTCAATTAATGAATATTAGATGGAAATAAGTATGAAAAGTCATTCTCTGTAAGCACTTAAACTTCGTTGCCACGCATGGTCACCGATTTCGATGAAACTTTCACACATTCTTGGTACTTGAAACCAGAAACATATATCTAATAAAGTTTCGTTACTATATGTCTTGTTTGCCATGCTAACAGCTAAAAAAAAAAAAGAAAAATTGAGACCTTCAGCTACTTTAAATCTTTACTGAGCCTTAATAAAAACGAGGAAAATCAAACAATTCATTCTCACAAAAATAATACACCTTGTTGCCACTTATATTGTAAAGAAACTGATATAAAAGAATATAATTCTAAGTAAGTGGTAATCAAACGTAGATTTTGATTAAATTTAAAATGCTGAAATATGCTGGAAAATGTAAGTACTAATGGTGGATGTTACATACTCAAACTCAAATAACAACGAAAGAAATAAATGAAAATATTTGACCTTAAGAATATAGGTTAAAGTAATATTATTCAATAATAAACTTTATCGTTGCCATAGTAACACGGTTTAACCACGTTAAATTGGTAACTAAGAAAGAGTAAATTCTACTGTCTTCAGGAAAACTGTGAACATTCAAGACTGGCAAGTGTGCATCCTTAAAACAATTCACAAGGTTGTTAAAAGTGAATTGCCTTAAGAATTTACTTGCCGTAAAATCAAGAACCATATTTAATTACTCACCTTGAAAAATACTTTTATGGTACTAAAGTTGAATTTCATATATTGATAAAATTTGAAGAAGAATTAATACAACACTGTTTCAATAGTAACCAAGAAGGGAAAATGTTCGATTTTGTAAACTTTAAAACAATCCTTGTGTGCTATCTTCTTGCATCCCTTTAGAGATTGGATGATAGTCAAAATCAAAAGCCAGGTTAGCCATTAATGAATATCAAACATAAAAGTTTCTGGAATCTACATTTACGGCTACGTATCAAAGGAACAATTTTTTTTTTTATAGATTTTTAGGCATATTTTGTCTGCTTATTTCTTTGGCAACGATTTCTTTAGAGAATCTGATTTGATTTTTTTTAAATGGGACAATTACCACTACGCCAACACTTTTAAAAATTGATTATCAGTTAAAAGGAAATATGCTTTATTAAAATATATCAAGATTTAAATTTATAGAGTGTATATTTAACGGTTTCTATGGTATCAAATCCTTTGCAACCATTGACAACCAAAAAGAAATATAAAAAATACGAACAAATGTAATGTTCTCCCTCTTACCTTCAAGTTAATTTTCAAGAGTCAACATATTTGATGAAATTTCAATATTTTTATGGATAATTATTTGCATTTTCGTAAAGCGTTACTTATTGGGAGAACAAAAAGAGACTCTAAAATTTTGGTAAAACATGTGTTTTTCACAGTAGAAATCAAAGGAATACAGAAAATATATTTAAAACAACTTCTCTGTTATTCACAAATTCATAGCAAAACTTTATGTGTTTCACGAGGGGCGGGTTGAAGGGGGGTGGGGTGGGTGGGTGGGTGAGGTATGTTTATTGAGTTGAAATTCCGATTTCAATGGAAAATATCGTCTACCAACCCCACCCCCACCCATCACCCCCATTGAAAAACTTGAGTTATGGATAGTTTACGATTAAGCGCTGGTATTAAGAAATTCATCAATTACCATTGAACTCTTCTCTGTATTAAATAAAAATGTTGTGGCCCAATTGCCAGTAATATTGATTTAAATGGATGCAAAATGCAAGCGGGAATACAGAGTTATCATACGTATTTCTTAGTTTTTGGTACTATATCTTTCAAGTCTCTTTCTCGAATATTTGGTGATGTTTCATTCTATCATTGCTCTTTCATCTTTACGTAAATTACTTTATAAAATTCAATTAATATATATACATGTATTTTTAATTTCGAATACTTTTTAACCATAGTAATGTTTGTTATAGTTAATTTACTAGACATGTTTTATGACTTTTCATGTAGTTTTAAGTTTCTTCCTTTTAGACCATAATGTGTCTCCATAATAAAATTGCTAAAATAGATCACGTGCTGCTTTTCATGGTTT